GGTGTCATCACCATATGGAAACGAGCTTCATCACTTAGATAACGCACGGGTGGGTAATTTGGCTTTTACAGCTCGAGAGAGTGGACTGTACCTTGCATGCTTCTGGGTGGATCGTAATGATCGAGGAGGAGACATTATTTTGGACCTTGATTGGAAAACTGGAATTGAAGCTAAGGATTGGGATTCTGTTGCTAAAAGAGAGAAGATTCAGGTAAACCATTTCATCTAAAATCAGTTAACATGATTTTCGTTAGAAGTATCAAATTAACTACTTAATCAGAGAAGGCTAATTTACATATAAAGTAGTCCAAACCTTATTTTATAAACCGATTTTGTGGAATTGAATTAGATTTAAAAGTCCATTTTTTATTAATTTTAGACAAATTTTCGTATACATTTGATTTGACATTGATGGCTAGGGAGTAGAGCTTGAGTTGAGAAGGCTAGAAGGATCGGTGGAGTCTATCCATGAGAATTTGATGCATCTGAGGGGAAGGTAAGTTTGATAAATTCCATAGTAAAATGTGTTGCAGAGAATTTCTGATGTATGATATTTGTTCTGTTTTGGGAAATTGAATCAGGGAAGCAGAGTTGAGGAACCTGAGTGAATCAACGAATGCGAGAGTGGTGTGGTTTAGCTTTTTGTCCTTAGGTGTCTGCATCACAGTTTCAGTTTTGCAGTTGTTGCATTTGAAGCGATACTTCCACAAGAAAAAGCTTATTTAGATGCTGCCAAGCTTTTTTATTTTATTTTAAAGAAGGAATTTTCTATAACTAAGGCATTTTCATGAGCTTTGCTTCTTTCACAAGTGGTGAAATTGTTGCACCTTGTCCATAGAAATTTGCTTTGTCTGGTTTGAATTAACTTGTAAAATCACATTTAATTTGTGAACTTCAAATGTAGAAAGCACTACTGATTGATGATAACTTCTTAATTGAAGTAAACATTTGGTTCTGAACTTCAAATGATTGCTTTATGATTTGTACGTGTTTATGAAAATGTTAGAGACGAGAACTTTTAGAAACTGAGTAAAAGTTAATTTCAACTTAACAAAAATAGGTTAGTTAGAAAACTAAAACATGGAAGGATTATTTTGACTTTACTTTTTCTAGAAGTTGTTGAAAATTTTATATAAGATAATACTATGATTTATTAATTACTTTCTTTGGAAAAATTAGCTGCTGTGATCGACTAACCTATATTCGTTTGACATAATATAAAATTATCATAAAGAAATAAATTTTTATATTTAAAAAAGAAGAGTACAAAATAAGAAAGAATAATGCAAAAGAATGTAAAAAATTTGTATGTGTGAAAATATCTTTTTTTTTTATTAAAAAAGAAGTACAAAAAAAATTGAAGTGGTGTATTTTAGAAAAGAAGTAAAAAAAAGTAACATTAAAGCTGGGTCATAGGCTGATTTGTGGGTTGGTCCAATAAAACTTAATTTGGGTCATTTCTTGCTTCACCTCCATTATTTGAAATAACCTGCACTGCTACAAATTTTTGTATTTTAGAATATAGAATCCCAATTTAGAATATAAAATAAAAAATACGTTTTGAATTGTATAATACGAAATACTTTTTTTCTCCGGATTGCACTTTTTGAAATTCGAAAAAATTGTATCATACATATTTTAGAATAGAAATTAAAAAAATACATTTTTAATTATATAATTTGAAATATAAAATTTAAGAGACTGTAGAAAGAAGTTGCCCTATAAAGCATTGGTTGAGCGTAGTCAACTTTATAAGGAATTGACCATTGGTCAAGGGTTGGCTCTTAAATGTAATGATGCACAAACACTAAATGTAATGGTGCATTATCATACCAATCAACCATAGCCATAACATCAAATGAATTGCATCAAATTTAAATTTAGCTTATCTTAGAGGAAAATATGGTAGCGGCATTATTATCTTGTACCCAAACTGGTAAACTGGTAAAGCCATTCACTCCCCAAAATGGGAGGTTATCAATTTTCAAAAGACAATCAAAATCATAAGCTCCTCAAAATTGAAATTGGAAACCAGCACGCAATCTCCTGCATTAAAAATGCAGAAAGATTTTCTAATCTTTATTCTATTCGAACTATCTTGTGGTTCATGTATCTAAACCGGCAAATCTCATCAAAAAAATCATCAGCACTGTTATGAGTGCTCTTCATCTGAAGAATCTTGATAACCATGGTCCTTAGATTTTTGCCGTATTTCAACATGGATTCAAGAGTATTCATTTTTTGTTCAGCATTTAGTGGTGATCTCACTGTGATCACAACCTCCTCCAAACATGGAATTAAAAATCCCGGATCCACCTGCAGATGAACCATCTTCATTAGATTAGATTACATAAAACAACCTTTGTCAGATGAATAATATAAAAAATGTCATTATAAATTTACATGTTTCAGACTGTTTCTCTGACAAAGTGCTGCAAACATGGCTCCATGGATGTCAAATTTGCGCAGGTGGGGATGGCTGTTGAAAAAATCAACAAAATCAACCTCGGGAAAGGGTTGAAGAGCCTCGAAGTTCCCAGTGAATTCCACCTTCATAAAAAGATGCTTCACCTCACTTGCCAATTTCAGTATTTTGCATATTGCATCCCAGCACCACTGAACCCCCCTCATAGACAGGAACTCCAAAGCTGGAAGGTTTCCAAACTCAACCATGTAAACTCTCCCTGGAATCAATCAAAATGAAAAGAGGAGAGAATATTAGGCTTACTAAACAAAAAAAAAAAGGCCAAGAAAAGGAATGTATAAGAATGACTTTAAAATTCAACTACCTGCACTATTGGATATTGAAAGATTCTTCAAATGCTGGGATTCAGGAACCCTAATCCAACTACAACCTTGTACCTCAAGAGATACAATTTTGGATGAGGTTAGTGTCAGTGAACAGTTTCCCAAACCATAGAAATCCAGTTTACACTGCTCCAAATAGGGAAGGTCAATTGAGATTGATCTAACCCCTTCACAGCCAAGCAGTACAAACCTTCTCAGATATGGGCATGACTGAAGCACCGCAACCAATGCAGGTTCCTCCAATCTTACACCAATCATTTCTAGTGTCCTAAGATTGTCAAAAACATCCCATTCCGGGGAACGTGACATTAAGACACCCCAGAGTTTGAGACATTTTAAATTCCTTGCTGCACCAATGCAATCCAATTTTGAAGGGCCTTCGTGGTAGGATTGTTCGTCAGCAAGGTTGTCCAATCGAAGCTCAAGCTGTGAAAGAGATAGACCAACTAGTGATAGCCATGAAGCAAGGCCAGAAGATGAGAAGGGGCTGTATACAATTAGATGGTCTAGCTTCACAACTGTTGATACCATTCTTTTCACAACCTCTTCCGGACTCTCACCAGCCGAAGTGTTATCAAGCGAGTTGCGAGGGAAGTACAGATTTCTGATGTGAAGCATCGACTCCTTCCATCGCTTAGAAACACAATTACAACAAGCCACATCGCGAGCATTACAAATACGTGACAAGATGCATTGAAGAATGGCATCAGGGAGAGAATCCATAGCTGAGGGTAAAAAACACAAATAATTGTCGGTGGACAGATTATAAAACATCTTTCCAAAACAGCAACATGAACAAAGAATAAAGAAAAATTAAAGACTCTCGTAATTATTTTAATCTCAATTATCATTTACATCCTCGGTGCTAGCTCCAAAAATCTTAATTTTTCAAAGACTCGAAAACCAACTTGTTACAAGAAACAGAGTTGAACACCGGTCATGTAAGAATTATGTGTACGGATAATGTAAATTCTAATTTCTGAAGCAATGCACATCATAATAGAGAGAACATAGATGAGATTTAAACATTATATCATAATTACGGACAGAAAACTAATACCAGATCTCAGAAATTGATTGAAAGAACTCCTTCGTATGAGTATGTATAGAACTAGTAATACATCAGACTCAAAATTAACAACTTTTTTATAGTTCAGCAAGACTGAAACAAAAAAGCGGTCTAAGAGACAGCTTACGGATTGAGAAATTCAAAGAGAATGAAGATCCGATCTTGGGGGCATCGTCACCTTTTGGGTATGCGGAACGTCTCAGGGGGAGAGAGAGATTTCGAAAATGTATTGAAACATAAAATGTTGTTTTGCCTTATAAGCTAAAGAATTGGAGAAGGAGGGTGGAATGGAAATTATCCCGCTTCTTTTTTCGAGGTATTTCAAATTTTTTTGACCGTTCAAACAAATTCAGTGCTAAGAGCGAGGAGGGTATAATAATAAATACACTAATACGTCTAAGAATAAGAATATGTGTATATTAATAAAAAAAAATACTTGATAATTCTAATAAATATGATACACAATAATTTCGTTTGTATATGATGCAATTATGCAGACTGTATTTTTAATTTTAATTTTTTACTATATTTTTTTGAACTTTCTTTCCAAAATATATTTTATCATTCTTTCTGAATTTCCTTTTATATGTATCAAAAGAAAGGAAGGGAATATTTAAAAATAATACTAGTAAATTTTAACACAGTGATTATTAAATGTTAAATATAAATATTAAACATGTATTTCTTTCCTTTTCTTTGTTTCTTTTTATTTCATTTTAAACCATGTATTTCTTTCCTCTTCAGAAGAAAATCTTGTTTAAGATATGTTTATTAAATATTGAATACAAACATTTTTTCTCTTTTGCAAAATTTAGAATGTTAACAAATGATATTATAATGAATAAATATTGGATCTGCTACAGTTAAAGCATTGATAAATAAATAAACAGTCAATGTTTGGTATATAGATAAATTCATATATGTATTCAAATCAATCCATTAGACATCAACTTAGCATGGAAAAAGAAATTAGCTAGTATGAAGGAAATCATATCTTCTATCGTCAGAAGATCTATAGCAGACAAAAATGTGTATAGAAATATTAATGGTTGATTTTGTTTTTATTTTGGTGACCAACCTTTTTACTTCAACCTTTTTATTGGAGGTTTTAAATCCATAAACATAGTTAACCATTTCTTTTGAATCATACATTTTCCCATATATAGTACAATATTACAAATTTCAAGGGGTGAAAGAGTAGAACTCATTTGGAGCTTTAGATTGTACTCATACTACTTGCTCTTATCTCTTTATACAGAAAGTGTTTGAACACAAGTGTTGCACTGCAATCCTGACAATGCCATTATACAGGAACTCTGTAAGATGGATCCACCATTTTCAAGATGAACAAGTTTCCCTTATCGCCTCTTGATACCCTGTTACATTATTATGACAAAGTATGTGAATGAGTTTTTGGTATCTATAGCAGCTGTCAGGAAAAAACAGTTACAATGGAGATAAAAACATCTTTTTCTCCTAAAAGAATAAGCATGGATCCAACAAAAACATTCTCTACATGTAACATAGCCGGCAACTAACCTCAGTTCTTCATCCAAATATGTTATTTCCAGTTCCCCACGAGCTCTTCCGGGAGCTTTAATAGGTATCTGCATTTGTACATTGTGATGGACTAGATGTTATTTCAACAGGGCAGAAATATACATACACATTACTCATTCATTAGGGCACTTCACCAGTTCCAAATTAAAGGGGTAGAACACTGAGACTAATATAATGTCTATGGGCTTTGTTGGAGCTTATTAGACTAATGGAATTTGCAGAGAAACCTTTACAGAATTTGCAAAATTTACTCCCTCCTTCTTAATCTAATGTCAGCTAAAATAGAATTCCAATGATAACTATTGAGACTCTGAACTGAATACTCACAATGCCTCCAATTTTGAAAGTATCAAATTTTACGGCCACTTTCCTTGGATTTAGAGGTGTTAAATCCGCTGTCACCTACACAATATTGACTTTTTGTTTACACAAGCAATTGCCAAAGTGAGAATGGATCAAGAGTGAGAACTTGTCCCAATTTCACAAGTTTTACCTGGTTGAAGAATGGCCAAGATTCCATATTTTGGGCCCTTAGAGTATCCACATTGATTGCCTGATAATTTGTAACTGATCTCAACAACTTTGGTCTCTATCATTGCATTAATGAAAAAGTTAGGTGGCAAAAAATTGGTAGATGGAAAGGGGGAGAAATTGCTTCTTCTTTTTTAAATCTATTACAGATTTATCCAATCTTGTAAAATGAAAGGGAACAATAAAAGTAAAATAGATATTTTGGAATTTAGTGAAAGCTTGTTAAAATATAGGTCAAGTATCACATAAGAACAGTGTTGTGGACTTACTTCAGTATAAGTACAAATTCAACAAACATAGAGAAGCTAGTTTTGATACTAATGCTAGATGGCTAGTAAATGACTGAATAAATGTAATCATGTATATTGACAATTGTATGATCTAAACTATAGACAAAGTGGGGAGATCCATGTACCATTGTTAATGAAGGCATAGAGCTATAATGGCAGCTTCTTGAATATTCTACCTCAGAGCTTAATCATGTATATACTGGTTAATATTATATGTTTGTATCATATTTTATAAAGAGAAAACAATTAGATAGATAATTTAACTACTGAACAGTATTAAATAGACAATTCCATTCTGGGGGGAATTCAAAAACCAAAAAAAAAAAAGAAAAAAAATCTCTCTAATTTTCAGGTGGTTGTATATTTTTTCTACAACTAAATGTATATTTATTCAATGAATACAAAACATTTAGGATATACTATTATTATGAACTCTCCAAATCAAAGATTAAGGTTTTTGAACTTCATTTAATGCATGTAAAGTACAGGAGTTGATTATATCATATCTAGGGTAAAACTTTATTCTCTTAAATTATTACTCTTGTTAGATTTCCATCCTCAAATATCAAATTCAACATAGTATACGTAAATTTATCACAACTCATTATGAACAGAATTCAAAGTGCGATCTGCAATCATGATTCTGTGCTCCAAAAATAACATGTGAACACAGAAAACAAGGAAACAACCTGCAATATGCTTGCAAACATTATATGCATCATAGTATATAATATAGATAGGAGTCGGTAAATGCATGAATTGAACTAAATTGTTGTAGAATTGAATTGAAATATAAAAGTGGGTTCAACTCAATTAAACTGAGGTTCAATTTAAAACCGTTTGGTTGAGGAGTAATTCAACTTTAAAAAACTAAACTACAAGAACAGCTCAGATAAGTTTTTTTCCAAAATAGTTCATTTTTTTTATGTAGTTATGTTTAGTTTTATTTTGCTTGACTAGCCTCAATTTAGATGATTTATCACAGGAATATAACCATAAACATGAATTTAAGCCAGGGAAAAAAACTGTTTACCTTGGTTTGCAAAATTGACTGCGATGTAGTGTATATAAGCTCCCACTTTCCATCCAGTAGGTCAGACTTTAGGGGCTCCTTTATTGGACTAACTTTCTCGAGTTCGCTAGCAATCTATTTAGACAAAAATTGCACGAATCAACAATAAAAATGCAAGTGAAGTTGAAAAAACTGGCCACAATTCTATTGAGAGAAAACTAATCATAAAAACCCACACCATTATATATCAAAATTAGAATTTCACAGAGTAAACTAACGTAGAGTTTCATGAACAAAGTAAGCAACACTAAGTGGTTAAACAAAACAAAAAACGTAGAGTAAATTAGCTTTCATTGTTCTAGACAAGGCTTAATTGAGGAAATGAAGAAAGCATGACATGAAAGACGTGCAATTAACCTGATCAACTGCTTGCTGGTCTTCGAGAGTGGCCTCAGCCCCTCGATCAAGCGGTTCAATGGCCTGAAGGAGTTCTTCCTTGATGATCTTGGCATCTTTCCGTTTCTTCAAGAAAGAAGGGAAAAATGAAACCTTTGCTCTCCATTTGTGTGAGAGAGGAAGATGGGTAGTGGAAGGTGTAATTGGGAAGTGAGAAGAAGAAGAAAGCTTTGGTGCATGGAAATGGGGTAGTGAAGATGTGGTGTTCAGAGTTGAAAAGAAGGAAGGAGAAGATAAGGCCATGCCTTAGTCAAATTACACCTTTTTTTCTCTTGCGCCCTTTCTTTCATAAACAAAACATTTGTTTATTAAGATTAACTGTCTACCTAAAGAATGATACAATATAAGATAATTCTTTAAATAAAATCTTTAATTTTTGTGAAGTATGAAAAATATTAAAAAATAATTAAATAATGGAACTACATATTTTATTTATCTAGCTATTTTTTATATTATTAACAAATTGTATAACATTTTAAATTTATAATTAATATCTTAAAAAATATTTAAATCATTATTATTTAATTTAGTGATATAATTTTCATTTATGCTTTTAAAATTATTATAAATATATTAAGATAGTATGTTAAGTAAACAATTATGATATATAATATAATTAATGTTAATAAAATTATCTAAAATTTTGTTTTATTGTATTTTATTTTCTTAAAACTGTAAATACGTTTTATAGGTTCCATACAAATTGATGTTATGGTTGAAATTTTTTTATTTTTAAATTTATTGAATTTTTAGACTTTTTTTTATATTTCATTTACATTTATGTAAAAAATGTTATATTTCATATTTCATATCTAATTTCTTAATTTATTATGATTTTAGTATATTGATTGTCTATTCTAAGTAATTTTATCATAAGGTTTTCTTTAGTTTTCATTTCAGTATTGACATTTTGACTCCAAACATAAAACTTTTATGTCAATTATTTATAGATATATGAAGAAGGAAGTTTAATGAAGAGACAATATTAATGATATTTAAGTTCAATTTAAATAAAAGATTAATATTAATTTTAAATCCAACTATAATTTATATATTTCATTATATTTTTCTTTATGCCAATTTTTTACGAGTTCTAAGGAGACAAATAATATTAACGAGATTTCTGTCCAATTCAAATAATAGATTAATACTACTTTTATTTTTAAGTAATGTGATAATTGATTTATGAGTTTTTTTTACTTTATATAGGTTGCTTATCTTACTATTTTGGTTTAATGTCTCAATATGTCTCTATTTTCATCCAGAATTTCAAATAGGTCCTTTTCTTTTTCGGAACGGCGTCATTTCAATTTGACGGAAAGGTCCTATTTGATTCAATTTTACAAAAATAAGGACTCAATTGAGATACAAAAAAAAAAGAGACCTATTTAAAATTCTGTATGAAAATAGGAACCTATTAAGACATTAAACCTATTATTTTTAATTATTACGATTTCACTTAGATTCACATTTAATAATATTTTCTTTAAGAATAAGTCTTTTATAAGTAAATGCAATCTCTTTTAGGCGAAAGTATTTTCAATCATGAACATTCTTTTCATACAATTATTCATTTTGAGAGAACACATTATTTTAATCCTTTAATAGAAACACTTTTGATATAACGATACTAACAAAAATTATGATAATACCAAAAAGTGTTTTGAAAAAAAATATATAGCAATGTAAATATAAAATGATGATAGAAAGAATCATTAAAATATTCAAAATAAAAGGATTGTGAATATTTAATAGGATTGTAAAAACATTTTAGAAATAAGTATTGTTTGCTTTTGAATGAAAATAAAAAAACTTAACTACTAAACAATAAATATTCAATAAAAAATATAAAATATGTTAATAATGAAAAAAATGATAAATTAACTGATTATTTATTTGAATACTTTCTCTTTCAACTTATGTTAATTTGAATTTATCATATGTTATTTTTCAGTTAAACTCGTCTTCTATATAAAAAAAACATTAAATGATATATTGGATTTAAACTCTGATGAACCTATGTCAATTTATTTTTTATTTTTTTATTATCATCTGTAATATAGTTTTTAAAACTCTCAACAAAAAATACAATAAAAGTTATATGAAAACTTAAGATTACATTAATTCATCTAAATTATATTAAAAATATATATTTAATATTATTAATGAAAATAATAATAGCCATGAAAGATATAGATTTAACTAATTTGTATTACTTTCCCTTAACAAGTAATTGAATTGAATTTAAATACAAATTATAAATGTTAATTAGATTGATTGACAGCATAAATAATTATTTGCTTAAATTTGACCAGAAATAAATATGAAAATTTAATTTAAACTATATGTATATTTTTAAATAAAAAACTTGTATTTTTTTCTATGTATGTATGTCTGTAAAGAAAATTAAATTGTTCCAAATACCTAACAGAAGATATTTATTACTCGTTCTAATCTTATTGGCTGTTCGGTTAGATCTTGGACGGATAGGATCATCTCTCAGTGTACATGTGACTTTGATCTGAAAATTTACATGTGATGAGTCAGTATAAAACACTAATTATTAATTTTTCAATAACACAATTAACAATTATATGTTTTTCTTTTCCTGAACAAGACAACAGACACGAGCAGAGCAATCAGAAGAACAGCAAAAGCATGAATGGATGATCTCTATCATTTTCTCTCTCTCAAGTCTCACCCTCTTCCATTTTAATCAGTTAATTCTCTGTTTATTGTTGCATGCTTCTCAAAGATTGAATCTTGAGTACAGAATTAAAGAAAATATATGATGGGGTCAAAGTTTCCGATGACCCAAATGGGGACATCACCTAGATACACGATTTCTACACATACAGGTTTTTTTACATACAAGTATTCAAGAAGAGTATTCTCAGAGCAAAAGTTTCCCTTCAAGTTTGTGCCACAGTCTTTGGGGGATAAATGGAAGCTAAATGACATAAGTACTGGTACTTTCTCTTCTGACTTCTTATTCTCAAAGTGCCATCACACCTTTTAAGTTTCTTGTTTAAGTTTGGTTTGATTAGATTGCATGTGTGGTTCTTATTTGTGTTTCAGCGATGTTCAATTCACATGCAATTATTTTTAAATTACTATTTCTTTACTAATAATTTTTCTCTCATTCATGGCCACACCCGACAGATGTATTCAGTTCTTTACTTACTTCATTCACAAATTGAATTTTCCTATCGATGCAACTTTGCTGCATATCCATTTGTATCATAATATGAATCTCAAACGACTTTCAATCTTACTGTACACGAAGTAATCGGTGAATCATACAGTTCAACAATTGTCTCTCTTTCCTTTTTCTTTTACCAAATTTCATGAAAGTTTAAATTGTTAAAATGAAAAAGGAATGAAACAACACTTTTGAACTGATCTTATTTGGTTATTCCACTACTTTATATGTCATTTTACTCATTCAATTTATGCACTCTAATTGGCTATTCGTTGTTGGTTTCCATTCTTTCAAAGTAGAGCCTTTACCAAGTTTACAAACTTAGATATAAGGTCTATTTCTAGTTCAAAATTATTTTACTGAGCAGTATGTATAAATTATGACTCAAAATAAATGTGATATATTTGATGTTATTTTTCATTGTCTTTGAATCTTATCATTCAGTTCAAATTATGACTGAAGATTCAAAAGCTAGTTTGACAATTCACATTTTGAATCTCCACTTGATAACCTTGTGCTGAGCTGTTTGCTTGTTGCATGTGATTACTTGGTATTTTAGCTTCTAGTATCTAAGTTCTCATCATAAATCAGCTTATTTTCCAATTCTCAATATTAAATGTTTTTCCTTTTTTTAAGTTTGTGAAACTAGGACGAGGTTAAAAGGATATACCATCTCTAAATTTATAGTGTATTTCTTTATGTGCCTCTCATTCTGGCCGTTTACTTGAATTATCAAACTTCCGATTTCCTTTTCAAAGGTTCTATTCAAGAAAGATTGAATGTATTGATGTCAAGGACCCAAAATTTTTTGAATGAAGTGACTTTTCCACGTGCAAAACCTGGTCAAAGTAAGAAGCCTGGTCCTGTAAATGATTTTGGATTACAATTCATGGAAGACATATTTAGGATAGAGCAGACAATTGACCGCAGAACGCCAAGTGGGGTTCTTTCTCTAGCCGCTGTAATTTGCATTGAACAATTCAGCAGGTGAATGCACTTAACTCATTATATTTTGGGTGAAATCTTTTATTTGGTCATTGGGTCAATGCATTCATCAAAAGGATTATACATTAACAAATTCTAGACTAAAGTATATAGCTGAAGTGCATGAATAAAAAAGGTTATACATTAGCAAATTCAAGATCAGAGTATATAACTGAAGTGCTCTATGAAATGTTTTACTTTTGCAATTGGAATTCATGGCAAAATTATTTATTCTAAAAATTACAGAAAAAAATAGTGCAATAAGAGAATACAATTCATAATGTATATTTTCTGCTCTTCCTTTTCTTTTGCCTTAAAATGATTAGATATTGGTTCTGATAATTTCAGTAGCTTCTTAAATTGTTTTCCTTAATCCAAAAATAAGAAATGTGGTTCTTGCTAGTTATGAGTGAGATATTCAAGAATGTAATTTTCAATTTGTCATTTTTACTAAATGGTAGCTAAACAGCTCTCCTATTAGGATGCATATTACTTTATTTTCTGGGTTATATAGAATGGCTTATTGGACAAACTCTGATCTATTATAGTTATGTATTACACAGTTATTTTCGTATTAATTTTGGATTAGATAGTTATTTGTTGTGCTGTCATAGTTCTAGTGATCTATTGGTAGCGTTGCAGACTTCTGAAAGGGACTTAAGATGTTAGACAGTTATTCCTTTCTGTTTGGGGAGAAGGGAAACCGTGTTTGTACTCAAATTTGTCTAAGAAACCAAATTATTTTTATCTTTATTCGGGATTCTGGATGTTTATTTCTCAACTTCAATGAAGTCTGAATTCCCAGGGGATTGTGGAGGAATGGACCCACAACATCAAGCACGCCCACCTCTGATCTTAACAGGGAGGGCTGTTGCCATGTGAGATTATGTGCTATTATCAATCAATTGGCATGTGTTTGCGTATTTTAATTTAGTTTGAATGGAAAATTGGATCCTATGAAGCACCATTAACAAGGGTCTTGTCTTTTTTGTGTTTCTTGCTTGCTTCATGTCTATCAAACTGATATAAAAATTATTATTTGACCTTTTAAAAATAAGATATGCAGGATGAATGGATTGACTGGGAAGAAAATGCAGAAAATATTTGGAGCTCTAGTGCCTGAATCTGTATATAATGATGCCCGTAATTTGGTTGAATATTGCTGCTTTAGATTTTTGTCTAGGGATGGTTCTGCTATTCATCCTTCCCTCCAGGTATAGAATATTGTTCTGTTTATGGTATGTTGGAAGCCATGTTCTGAAGTTCATTTTCTGTTTTTGTTTTATCAAAGCTCCTCATGGTTTTCATGAGACATGTTGGGAAAAGCCTTTTTTTCCCTTGTTCATTATATATGTTTTAAATTGATTTACTGAACACAATTTTCAAACAAACAAAATAATGTTTTATATTTAATGTATCTGCATATTTTTCTTTTCATCTGATCAACACCACTTCTGCTTCCCATGTTTTTACTGCCCTTCTGCTCTAGTCTTTTCCAGCTGTTCGAGGACCACTAAATCCTCGTTTCTTATTAGCACAAACAAGATGGTCAAGCATTTCATGAATGCCAGCTAGCCATTGAAGGTGGTCCAAGCTAATTGATTGTCTACCTCAAGAATACCAAGTCTCGTGTATGTTTGTGACATCTCCAGTTGCTTTTCACCTAAAACCTCCATGTGAATCCTCAATCTCACCAATAGTTGTTCATACCTGAGCCCTGACCTTGTTTAACGAGCTCTTCATCATGTGTATTGTTTGGAGTCACTGGTCTTCAATTTCACCAGCATCAACTCAGAACTTTCTCCCACCTATCTAGTGGTAAAGAATAGTGCAACCTCCCTCCAAAAGACGGAAGCTGTTAGGATGTAAAGAGTAGGAGAAGAGATTTCTCTCCTTCTTCATGTTCTTTTCATCCTATTCCATAAGAATCTTTCTATTATTTTTCTTTTTGGTTTCTAACGGATGCACACACATACCAAGAAATAATTTTATGAAAAATTGCTATAAAACAAATTGTTTTTTGGGAAATTTGAATGGTAAAAAAAACCAGCTAGAAGAAGCCTAAATTACTAGATTTCTTTGTTTTACTTTCTCCCATTTAATTATCAGATGCTGTAATGCCAAATAAACTTTATTCTTTTATTTCCAAAAGGGAAATGCAATGTTTATTGCTTTTGGATGTGTTTGTAGGACCCTGCATTCCAGAGGTTGATATTCATAACCATGGTTGCCTGGGACAATCCTTATACCGATAACCTTTCCAGCAATGCAGAGAAGACTTCTTTACAGGTTCAGTTCTTTCCTTTAGTTAATGTGATTCAGGCGCCCTACCAGCATTGAATCTGCTGGTGATTGCATATGGGAGATATGAGAAGAGTGATAGCTTTTTGTCAGGAATTCTCCCACTAATTGGCCTGCTGCATGGTACCACAATGTTTGAACTTCTAAGGGTGATGTTGATGACCAGCTAGAAAGTATTATACTTTTAAATATAAAGTATGTACCATGTTGCACAAGAAATATGTGTTCATCTTGTGAATGATAATCTAGGGAAAAGTTATTTCATCATTCTCATGAATTAAATCAATGATATCATAATAGAACATTGAAGCTGGGAGATATTTTGGTTCAAGGATTTCTAGCTATTTTCTTCATTACAATTGCATTATGTTATTTTTCTTTATGATTTTGAGAGATCACTTCATATATGTGATTTTTTGTGGGCTTAGCAGAATAAACTTGTCACTGAGGAGGCTTTTATTCGTATTGCTCCTGCAATCTCTGGTGTGGTTGACCATCCCACAGTGCACAATCTTTTCAAGGCTCTTGCTGGCAACCAAGAGGGCATTTCTGTGACCTCATGGCTGAATTACATTAATGAGTTTATCAAGTGAGTTGTTAGTCATCATTTTGTCAATGATGTGATAATCTTAGAAGACATCCAAGCAACATGTGTTTTTGACTTCCAAGTTGATGAAATATAAATGATGTGTAACGGTTTTCCAATTTACAAATCTCAAATTCTTCTAATGCACTAGGTATTCTCATTTTATCTAGATAATTAATGCATGAAAGAATGAAATTTCATTTTTTCATGATGAAGGAATTAAGATTTTTTGTGAAAAGATCCTCTTAATTGTCATAATTTCATAAAAATAAAATGATGAATGATTATTTGTTTCATCTTTTATTCACTTTTTTGAACTTTCTGTTTATAATGTCATTGCTTCAGACGACTCCTCTCTTATTTTCTCTTGAATTTTCTAATTTGCTACTCAGAACTTCTAAACATTCTCTTTATGACAACTTTTTTGTGCTAAAATTGTACTGATATTATTGTAGAGTGCGTCAAAAACAGATATCGCATCAGATTCCAGAGTTTCCTCAACTGTCTCAGGAGAGAATTTTATGCACTAGTTCCAACAGTAAGCGACCTGTTTTGAAATGGGAGAATAATATGGCCTGGCCTGGCAAACTTACTCTAACAGATAAAGCAATCTATTTTGAGGTATTTTATGATTCTATACTATGGTTATTATTATAGTAGTATTTTAATATGTTAAACAGTCAGTAGTATATGCTCTGTGATAATTGAACAGTTTTATACTTAGTTATATTCTGTAACAATCCCGTTAGATTTTCAGTTCTTAGGTGGTTTGATATTTATTACAGTCTGTTAAATGTTACGGAGCTATATATAGCTGATCTCTCATCTTTTTGTATCTTGTCTAAAACAAATTTACTCAAATTCAGATATTTTTTTTCTTTTCTCTGAACCTTAACACTAATGAAGTATACTATATCATAAGTTTTGGGACTTTACCTATAGCAATACAAAAGGATCTGCAGATTTCTCTGTGGAAAGCACAACTACTACCCTTTATATTCTGTATTTCTTCTTTATATTGTCTTTAGTATGTATAAACATGATTTATGGTTGTAATTTGATTAGAAATTATAATGTATTTGATTGCTTTGTTGTTTGTTGGTGTTACAACACCAAGATTGGATTTCTGGAACAGAATTAAACGCTTAAGCCTATAAAAACAAAAAAATACATTTGACTTGTTACAACTTTAGGCCCATAATTTCCAATCTCTATCAAATCACGTAATCTCTTTGTTGAGAGGATTAGTGTCAAAACAGGTCACGGAGGATTGTACCAAGAAGGGATATAATTAATTTCGTGTATATTGGGTACACAAGAGTATTCTTATTTATAATGAAGAGATATAATTATAAGGAACAAAATCAAAAACATCTAAGAGTAGGCAATATCAAATATTTCCCTTTCAAATCATATCATATCTCCATATTTAATTTGATCAAATCATATGTCTAGCACGCTTATTATGAGATCTCCTTGACTTATCACATCTTAGTTTTCCCCCTTTATGGAGAAATTGAAAATCTACCTGTGCAGAGTCAAAAGCATCAACTTCAAGCAGAATGAGTTTCTAATTGCCCATATGAAGAATTGAATATTTTAGGAACCAACACAAACAATTTTATTAGTTTTTAAGCCTAGACTTTACATAATAGTGACTACACGCTACAGTAGTAAAGGTTGCATTAAAGATCCCACAGTAACGTAGATATGATCAAATTATAGTATAAAAATGAGTGCAAAACTCACCTTATATGGCTCTTTTGTAGTTTAGTTGTTTTTTGTTAGTGATTGATCTTTGAGAAATTATTAAGGCAGTTAACCATTAGAAACTGTTCACTATAGATCATGCTAAAATAAGATTGACAGTGAATGAAAACTGAATGGTTTGTTTGCTTGCTAATGTGTGTGAAAGTTGAATCAATGATTGATTATTGATCAAAGAGTTTGTATAATAAAAAAAAGTAATCACCATCTTGTTTGATTGTTCTTTTCAAATCTATATGTTCCAGACAGTTAGCATACTGGGGGAGAAGAGAGCCATGAGATTGGATCTTACAACTAATGGTTTACAAGTAGAGAAGGCAAAGGTTGGGCCGTTAGGGTCTTCACTTTTTGACTCTGCTGTTTCTGTTTCCTCTGGCTCAGAGACAAAGTGAGTAAGCTTCTTCCAGCATTTTTTTTATTAGTTCTAATGAGTCTGGGTAAATAGAACTCAGCTTTATCAGAAAAATATGTCTTGGTAAAAAAGATGAAGTCCAACTAAACATTCTAAATACTCAGGTGATAAAAGTTATGGAGAATATCGTACTCTCCTTCAGCTTATCTCCATTTTCTCATAAATAAAATAACTCAAGTACCACAGTTTTGTCCTCCGCTTTCACCAGTGCTTTTCTGCTCGTTTTAAAATACTGTATTTTCTGTTTCTTTTATATTCTTACTTCGGTTGAATAGGTGGGTGCTGGAATTCATTGATTTAGGAGGTGAGATGAGGAGGGATGTTTGGCATGCACTTATAAATGAAGTCATCACTCTACACAGGTTTATACGTGAGTATGGACCTGATGAGTATGATGAGTCACTTTTTAATGTATATGGAGCTCGCAAAGGAAGTGATAGGGCAACAACCTCTGCTATTAATGGTATTGCTAGACTCCAAGCCCTTCAATATTTGCGGAAGTTGCTTGACAATCCCACCAAACTAGTTCAGTTCTCATATTTACAGAATGCACCACATGGTGACATTGTCCTCCAAACTTTAGCTGTTAATTACTGGGGAGGTCCACTAATTACAGGATTTGTAAATACCCGCAATCAGTCAGAAACTCGACCTTCTGATGAAATAGCTGATAGCCGCAACCATGTATTTGACATAGATGGAAGTATCTACTTGCAGAAGTGGATGAAATCTCCATCTTGGGGTTCAAGTACTTCCACTAACTTTTGGAAGAACACTTCAGTAAAAGGTTTAATATTGAGTAAGAATCTTGTTGTGGCTGATTTATCATTCACAGAAAGAGCAGCAAAAATAAGCAGACTAAAGTACCACGTTGTGGAGAAGACTCAAGCCACCATTGATGCTGCAACTCTACAAGGCATACCCAGCAACATTGATCTTTTCAAGGTTGGGATGCTTAACTTGCTCTCTTGTCTCCTTTGATGGTTTAAGTGTATAGTAACTACTTGATTATGATTATGCAACATTCAAATCAGTTATCTATACTCATTCAAAAGCAGTAAGTAGTGTTTGCATGCTTGATATTTCTCACAATTTCTTCTAGATATTGGTATAATTGTGCCATGAGACCATGACTATCAGTATTAGGATTTTAGAATATCTGAAATATGTATAAGCACGGGACAGTAATTTGTTATTCAAGTATTTAATTTCATCTCATCCCTCTATTTTTGCAATAAAAAGCCAGTATTGAAAAGTTTTCTTACAATCTTTTTCAAATTTCTTTTAATTTATGAAATTTCCAGAATCATTATAACAGAATTTTTATCCTTTAACGTGGCTGGGTGGATGGGTGGGGGTTGTGATCATCCCTGTATAGCAACACTCCCCTCCACCTGAGTAGAGATTTAAATTTGTCCTCATTTTAAAATTTCATGATTACCGTAGTGGTTGGTAAAGATATATTGCTTCTTTTCTTTTACTAGTATTCAATTGAATTTAATATATTGTATTGTATTGCTAATGCTATCTGTATTAACTCATTCTTATAACAAATATTTTAGTTTACTGCAGAAGCGTTCAATGTCAAAAGTCTTATTAGCAATGGTGCCTTAGGCCATCATATTTGATTGCTTATTTATGTTGTCTTCTTTGAATGGGATCCAAAAATCATAAGCTCTTAGATATTGATTTTGTTCCTGTGCAGGAGCTAATGTTTCCTTTCGCCATGATTGTGAAAAACTTTGAAAAGCTTAGGCATTGGGAGGAGCCACACTTGACTATTGCATTTCTTGGACTCACCTATACAATAATTTATAGGTAGATCTTCACCTCATTTTTATTCTGCTATTGATGGTTGCTGTTTTCCCAGTCATCAGTCAGCATGATGATAATTTGATATCTAGCTTCTCTTTTACTTTTATTAATGAAAGATAATTATTTACTTAAATGTTATTTCTGTAAGACTTACATTCTTCATGCACCTAACTGTAATAACAGTTTAGACCAGCACAAAATGTGAGGACCATAAAACTGTAATGTACTTTCCGAGATTTGGTGGACAATGAATTTCATGGTGGAAAACATTGCTTTAAGAATTTGGTTTTTAACCAAGCCAAATGACATCGTGTGATCAATGTAACCAACCTCACTTGGATAAAATTTATTGTTGTTGGTGGTTAACAGAGCAATAAGTCTTCATGGATCCCTCCAACCAAGTTGATGTTTTGGATAGTGTATTTGCAGCACAAGCTAATTGATGTTCTTGTTAATAGTTTCTGGGCACCTTTTTCTTACATGTTTGAGCTGATGTTTTAATTTGCCTTTCCAGAAATCTGGTGTCGTATGTGTTTCCCATGATGCTGATGATTTTGGCAGTTGGCATGCTCACAATCAGGGCCCTTAAAGAGCAAGGCCGCCTAGGACGATCTTTTGGTGAAGTCACAATACGTGATCAGCCCCCATCCAATACTATACAAAAGATTATTGCTGTAAAAGATGCCATGCGTGATGTTGAGGATTTTATGCAGCAAGTGAATGTCTCTCTCCTCAAAATACGTTCCATTTTACTGTCTGGCCATCCACAGGTATATTATTAAGAGTAATGAGAAATCTAGTTGTGATTTGCATTCCCACGTCTTCTTTAGTTGAAGCTCAAACTAGTTTTTGGTATGCTATTTGATATTATTATTTTGTTCTTATTCCTGTTCCGGGGCTATTTAATATGATCTGATACATCAGATTTTGGGAGGATTCTTTTTATTTTATTGATTTGCCATGATTTTGAACTCTGCTCCTGTGGATGTTTAATATGGCCTTCTTTTTCAGATAACTACTGAGATTGCAATGGTACTGATATCTTCTGCAACCATACTCCTCATTGTCCCGTTCAAGTACATCTTTTCCTTTCTTGTCTTGGATATGTTCACAAGGGAGCTTGAGTTTCGGAGAGAAATGGCTCGGAAGTTCATCAAATTTTTGAGAGAACGGTGGCATGCAGTGCCTGCTGCCCCCGTGTCAATTTTACCATTCCAAAATGAAGAAGCCAGATCAGAAATTTACTTGAAAGAAATAGAGGACCAATCAAAATCACAAGGAAATCAGGGCAGTGGAAAGTCCAGGTAGCTAGTGCCTCCATTTTCAGTGTTATCAACAGATAATGTAAATAAGTAAATTTTGTTTCAATTTTTTTTGTAAAGAAAAGTAGAAAGGTCTTGCACTAGCTTTTTCTCCCTTTGGATTTGTTATACGGAACGCTTGAGTTGGTTAGTTTTCAGTTTTATTTTTTTCCTCGTGTTGAACAATGTTGGTTCCCATTGAAGAAAATGCATGATTAATTACAACAGATAAAACTATATGCCTGGATTTGTAGAGGCTTTTAGGCATCCGAGTAAATTTCGGTAACACTCAGAAATACAGAAGTCAATGATACGACAAAAAGCAAAAAAAATCATTCAAGTGTAACATTGAGAAAACATTCAATTTACATGCACAATTGCTACCACGTGATCCATGAAGTCTGCATGAATACCAATGGGAGAATCAGGGCCAACCATGTCCGAGGTTTGACTTTATAAGTATTAGATTCATTGCATGCAACTGTCTTGCCATGATAGGAACACAATGTTTGGTTCCTGTATTAAAAATGAATATTAGCAAGAATTATGGTAGTCAAGAAGACGAGGGTATAGAATTAATCTGATTTGTATATAATGAATGCATGAAAATATTATGTCTAGAATAAACTTACCTCAAGCCGCAGAATGTAATAACGAAGTCTGCTCCCGAGCATGTTATTATGCTGGGGTCATCATGGGCAAAACTATATGCTGCAGGACAAACCTGTTTAAACATGGTTGAATAATTTGAAGACAAACATGTAGCAGGGTTTCCATAAGTGCCTCTGCAGCAATACTCGTCAGTGTTAAAGACATCACAGGCACTGCGGCAAGCAATAACTTTGTCACCTTGCTTTGAAGCTAGCTGGGGTGGACAATTCTTCCTCAAATCTCCATCACAGCCAGCAATGCTACAGTTCCCAGTGCCATTAACAGCTTTTACTGTCACGGGCAAGTTGAAGCCATCTACAAGGCTAACATCATAGAAATCAGGTTCACCAAGGGTAAAGTCAGCAATTGTGGCAGGTGGGGTTCCTGGACCTGTACAGTTAATGTTGGTACCACAAGCACCTGTTTCACAATTGCCATTGCCATTCTTGTCAAAGTTGCAGCCTGTTCTAGCCCATATTCTTCCACTCCATCCAACAGCAGCTGTGTGCACTTTTGATTGGCCAGGATTTAATGCATCTCCACTGAAGTTATCACTTCCTGTTATGGCAGGCCATATTGTCTCCTTGCAGTAATTTACTATACTTAAAGTCTTACTGCTTCCACAGGTTTCAGGTGCTGCCACCCAACAGATCAAATTTCTAAGATTGTAAAAAATAACCCTTCTTGGAAACCCTCCTTGTTGCTTTAACAAATAAACATTTTTCTCTAAGCATAAACAAATCATCAGTCTGAGTTGCACACCCAATAATGGCAAAGTTTTTTTATTCTGGTGAAAACTCTGTTATGAGATTGGACCACTACCACCTATTGTAGCTACTGGGTTTTTCTCCTGATTTATAGACATTCGAATGTTGTGAAGTCGTTTTCAAACAAATATTAAATGAAACAAGGAATTATCAAATTAAAGTTTAAATTTTTTTTAGTTATATATGAACCTAAACAGGAAGATTAATAGTTAACAAGTATGCTTTATTTGCTTCACACAGGTTGACCAAAGATGGAGATTACAAAAGTAAGAAGTTACCAGATGAAATAACAGCAAAGATGAAAAGAAGTGCACTGTGATGATTAGCCATATATCCACTGATACAGTTGATTACATTACATTGTCTCCAATCGTCAACGTGCATGGAATGAGAGATTGTGAGCTATTTATGAGTATGCTCAATGAAAGGAGTTGAAGAATACGTGAAGAAGAGAGTGAATCTATCAGTACTGACAGCTCTAAAAGCTTTCCTTCCTTGCTCAAGGCCAAAATTTCAGAGGATACCTTGCTCACCATTGTCATACTCATTATGTCCTTCTATTCAATAAATTTGTTATGCACTTTTTCACTTTTCCAACTTCTTTATGTTGTCTTGTTTTTAGGACTTCATCCTTGTGGCCTTGAACTGTGATAAGGATTGAACAATGCATATGCATATATATCATTTCAGTGATTCTACTTAGAATGCAGTTTTGATATGTAAATCATAACTGTCCAAATCCATGTCTAGAATCCAATTTAAAGTGGTGACTGACTTGAAGGAATTTAGTGTTATTTTTTTGCTGTGCAAGTCATTCTTACATTTAGTAATTTTGTAATGATTTTCTTAAATAGGTAATTAAGGATATATTGACTGTTAAATTTTATTAATAATGTCACAATAGGTTTGTATTTTGTTTATGATAGTTTATGAAATCTGACATTAGGTTTGAAGAGTGAAGATTTGAACTTTTTATATTGTATCATCATGAAATTTAATTTTTTTATTTGAGGTTAAGTTAAAACTTTATGTGATCGTGTGAAACAAGAGAACTGCTAGCTACTGAGTCCATATTTTTAAAAAGGTTGTAACTTTTTTTTTGCCTGTTCTTATATCAAATCCACAGGTTAATTAGTATTTTGCTGCCTAATTATAAATTAAAAAGGACAACAATATATCCATATAAAATTTTATAATATATTATTATTGGTTAAAAATCTAAAGTTTAATATTCAATAAAAAGATACATTATACATAATATGATGTATTATACAAGAATGCCATTAAGCAAACAATTCTACTTCTGTTCCTCACATTCAAATATGTATAATAAAATCAAGTAAAACTGTATAAAAGTAGAAAAAGTTTGAAATCGACACATTAATTAAAGCACCACAAAATAATAATTAAACACTTAAACATTTCTACTACTTCAAGATAATAGTTAAAAGAAGGTTTAAACCCTCCCTTGGTCCTCAAGTTTATATGAAAATCTCAGTTGGGTCCTCAAGTTTTTTTCTGTCTCAATTGGGTCATATTTTTTGTAAAAGTAAGCACATTTTGCCATAACCGTTAAATGGTGTGAGACGGCGTTAAATTTTTGTGAGCTAGATTTTTTCATTTACTGACGTGGCATTGTGCATTAAAATTGAAAGGCCACGTGGTGATATTTTGACCAGAACCAGATCTTCTCCTCCCTCCCCCTCTGCTTCCTTCCATCGGCGCCACCCACCATCTACAACACAATCACAGACCACTGGAAAACACGGACCATGTAGCTAGTTGGCATTCCTAGATTCTTGTAGGAAAAGATATCCCTCTCTGACATATGAGGTTCGTGTGCTTGAGAAGGAACTTGAGATCCGGAATGAGGAGAGGGAGTTTAGTCGTCGGACAGCTGAGGCTTCTCATAAGCAGCAATTAGAGAGTACCAAAAAAATTGCCAAGTTAGAATTAGAATGTCAGAGGCTGCGCCTTCTGGTCCGGAAACGGTTACCAGGTCCTGCTGCCCTGGCAAAAATGAAAAATGAAGTTGAAATGTTGGGACGGGATTCATTTGAAATAAGGAGGAGCAAATTGAGCACCAACAGTTTACTGGTTGAATCTTCAGTTGACACTTCTCCTGAGACTCCCATTACAAAAATCCCGTGAACAATAAAGCTTTAACTCGCCTCTCAATCTCAGGGTTTTGAGTATTTGGGTATTTGTATGGCTTTAACCAAACAGGTATATTACTTTTTGGAATAATCTTATGATCATACCTTCTTTTTGCAGGTAATTGAGTAGGTTCTTGAAGTACAGTCTGAAATTGTTGTAATAAGATATCCAGTTGAAACTGTTGTGTTTGTATAGCAAGCAGCATTGGTTGACCGTGTGTTGTCTTCAAATTTCCTGAAACTAGTAAATTGTCATTGTGATGTTGAGCCCCTTGTGATGTAACTGTCTCCCTGATGCTGAAAAGTCATAGTTAATTGAGCACAACTCCAAGAAATTTCACCAAGTGCCTTAAATCATATCATGCCAAGAATTACTTCGAGATAGCTACTTGGCATGGCAAGACGAGAAAAGCAGCCTTGAACACATGATTGTTGAACTTCCATGTCACTTGAGGACACTTTCTTGTATCCTAAGTTGTTTATCAAATGCTACTGTAACTGGAAAATCTGTTATGAAAGTTGTTTTTGATCGTAACAGTTGCATTCTTCACTGATCAAACTGTGTGTACTTGCTGTATCCATCAAAATACAACCTTTTGTTTCTTGATTAATCCTATCAATTGTAAAGTGTTTCCACCCATACACCTTGTAAAGCATGTAAAGAAATGTGAACTTGGGAATCATTGACCAATTTCAGACTTTGTTCCACCATATCGTTGTCTTGTCTTTTTCTGAATTTGAGTTTACAGCTTCATCACTTCCCTCTTGTGCAAAGAAAATGTCATTTAATTTTCCCCAAACCTCACTCTTAAATCTATGATTCTTATCCCATTTTTGTCACAGAATCTACATAATCCTTTATAAATTTGTTCACTAATCTCTTTCCTTGAAATTGAACTTTGCCGATGTAGATTTGAAATAGCAATAGAGGCTGACTGTTTTGATGCAGCTGTGGGATCTTACTGCAGTGTAGTTATAGGTGGAGTTGTGCTATTTTGACTTGCCCTAGACCATGAACGTGAATCGGTATTGCACCTCAGAGTTGGTCACTTGATTCTCATTGAGTTTCTTTGTGATTTCTTGGAGGACCTCTTGTAAACTTGTTGACCTCACAGCTTCTTGAATTGTCCTGGGTCTATGGACACAAACAAATATCTCTAACTCTGCACTCAAGCCTGAAAGAAAAAGAAAATACTTGAAGCTGTCTCCTCAGAAATCAATCATCACCATCACCCTGAGCCAAAAGGTTATCAAAATTCTCCAAATATTCAATTAAAGACCCTTCTTGTTTCAGTCTTGCCAGTTCAGCAAATGGGTCAACAAATGCTCCATCATCAAACCGATTTCCAACATCTTACAAGATTTGAATCCATGTTTTCTGCTTAAAATCGAGGGTTTGAATATAATGGTGTTGCTAATTCTTGTGAATCCACCATCGTCCTCTCCTTTGTGTCCATGCATGTCTCCTTTGTAAAAGGCAATTTTTTTGGTACTCTCTAATTGCTGCTTATGAGAAGCCTCAGCTGTCCGACGACTAAACTCCCTCTCCTCATTCCGGATCTCAAGTTCCTTCTCAAGCACACGAACCTCATATGTCAGAGAGGGATATCTTTTCCTACAAGAATCTAGGAATGCCAACTAGCTACATGGTCCGTGTTTTCCAGTGGTCTGTGATTGTGTTGTAGATGGTGGGTGGCGCCGATGGAAGGAAGCAGAGGGGGAGGGAGGAGAAGATCTGGTTCTGGTCAAAATATCACCACGTGGCCTTTCAATTTTAATGCACAATGCCACGTCAGTAAATGAAAAAATCTAGCTCACAAAAATTTAACGCCGTCTCACACCATTTAACGGTTATGGCAAAATGTGCTTACTTTTACAAAAAATATGACCCAATTGAGACAGAAAAAAACTTGAGGACCCAACTGAGATTTTCATATAAACTTGAGGACCAAGGGAGGGTTTAAACCTTCTTTTAACTATTATCTTGAAGTAGTAGAAATGTTTAAGTGTTTAATTATTATTTTGTGGTGCTTTAATTAATGTGTCGATTTCAAACTTTTTCTACTTTTATACAGTTTTACTTGATTTTATTATACATATTTGAATGTGAGGAACAGAAGTAGAATTGTTTGCTTAATGGCATTCTTGTATAATACATCATATTATGTATAATGTATCTTTTTATTGAATATTAAACTTTAGATTTTTAACCAATAATAATATATTATAAAATTTTATATGGATATATTGTTGTCCTTTTTAATTTATAATTAGGCAGCAAAATACTAATTAACCTGTGGATTTGATATAAGAACAGGCAAAAAAAAAGTTACAACCTTTTTAAAAATATGGACTCAGTAGCTAGCAGTTCTCTTGTTTCACACGATCACATAAAGTTTTAACTTAACCTCAAATAAAAAAATTAAATTTCATGATGATACAATATAAAAAGTTCAAATCTTCACTCTTCAAACCTAATGTCAGATTTCATAAACTATCATAAACAAAATACAAACCTATTGTGACATTATTAATAAAATTTAACAGTCAATATATCCTTAATTACCTATTTAAGAAAATCATTACAAAATTACTAAATGTAAGAATGACTTGCACAGCAAAAAAATAACACTAAATTCCTTCAAGTCAGTCACCACTTTAAATTGGATTCTAGACATGGATTTGGACAGTTATGATTTACATATCAAAACTGCATTCTAAGTAGAATCACTGAAATGATATATATGCATATGCATTGTTCAATCCTTATCACAGTTCAAGGCCACAAGGATGAAGTCCTAAAAACAAGACAACATAAAGAAGTTGGAAAAGTGAAAAAGTGCATAACAAATTTATTGAATAGAAGGACATAATGAGTATGACAATGGTGAGCAAGGTATCCTCTGAAATTTTGGCCTTGAGCAAGGAAGGAAAGCTTTTAGAGCTGTCAGTACTGATAGATTCACTCTCTTCTTCACGTATTCTTCAACTCCTTTCATTGAGCATACTCATAAATAGCTCACAATCTCTCATTCCATGCACGTTGACGATTGGAGACAATGTAATGTAATCAACTGTATCAGTGGATATATGGCTAATCATCACAGTGCACTTCTTTTCATCTTTGCTGTTATTTCATCTGGTAACTTCTTACTTTTGTAATCTCCATCTTTGGTCAACCTGTGTGAAGCAAATAAAGCATACTTGTTAACTATTAATCTTCCTGTTTAGGTTCATATATAACTAAAAAAAATTTAAACTTTAATTTGATAATTCCTTGTTTCATTTAATATTTGTTTGAAAACGACTTCACAACATTCGAATGTCTATAAATCAGGAGAAAAACCCAGTAGCTACAATAGGTGGTAGTGGTCCAATCTCATAACAGAGTTTTCACCAGAATAAAAAAACTTTGCCATTATTGGGTGTGCAACTCAGACTGATGATTTGTTTATGCTTAGAGAAAAATGTTTATTTGTTAAAGCAACAAGGAGGGTTTCCAAGAAGGGTTATTTTTTACAATCTTAGAAATTTGATCTGTTGGGTGGCAGCACCTGAAACCTGTGGAAGCAGTAAGACTTTAAGTATAGTAAATTACTGCAAGGAGACAATATGGCCTGCCATAACAGGAAGTGATAACTTCAGTGGAGATGCATTAAATCCTGGCCAATCAAAAGTGCACACAGCTGCTGTTGGATGGAGTGGAAGAATATGGGCTAGAACAGGCTGCAACTTTGACAAGAATGGCAATGGCAATTGTGAAACAGGTGCTTGTGGTACCAACATTAACTGTACAGGTCCAGGAACCCCACCTGCCACAATTGCTGACTTTACCCTTGGTGAACCTGATTTCTATGATGTTAGCCTTGTAGATGGCTTCAACTTGCCCGTGACAGTAAAAGCTGTTAATGGCACTGGGAACTGTAGCATTGCTGGCTGTGATGGAGATTTGAGGAAGAATTGTCCACCCCAGCTAGCTTCAAAGCAAGGTGACAAAGTTATTGCTTGCCGCAGTGCCTGTGATGTCTTTAACACTGACGAGTATTGCTGCAGAGGCACTTATGGAAACCCTGCTACATGTTTGTCTTCAAATTATTCAACCATGTTTAAACAGGTTTGTCCTGCAGCATATAGTTTTGCCCATGATGACCCCAGCATAATAACATGCTCGGGAGCAGACTTCGTTATTACATTCTGCGGCTTGAGGTAAGTTTATTCTAGACATAATATTTTCATGCATTCATTATATACAAATCAGATTAATTCTATACCCTCGTCTTCTTGACTACCATAATTCTTGCTAATATTCATTTTTAATACAGGAACCAAACATTGTGTTCCTATCATGGCAAGACAGTTGCATGCAATGAATCTAATACTTATAAAGTCAAACCTCGGACATGGTTGGCCCTGATTCTCCCATTGGTATTCATGCAGACTTCATGGATCACGTGGTAGCAATTGTGCATGTAAATTGAATGTTTTCTCAATGTTACACTTGAATGATTTTTTTTGCTTTTTGTCGTATCATTGACTTCTGTATTTCTGAGTG